GAGATCAATAATGCATATTATTTTTGCACGACAAGCGAGCTGTGACGTCAAATCTGTCACGTGACCCACGCATGTGGAAGCGTAACGCATTGTAGGGTAGTGGTTAGCGCGCCGCGCTACGAACCCGGCGACCCGAGTTCGATTCCCGCTCACGGCCACCACCGGTGACGATTATTTTTACCGGTTCTGGGCCTCCGCTAGGTCGACTCAGCCTCAAACGAGTAACTGCTGTGGTGTGTGAACATCGCCACTGGGGGGACAAAGGTGGCCGGGCGTGGTGCTGGCCACCCACCCCCTCGTGCGCCATGCCGGCCTTCATAGGTGCTCGCTAACAGCACTTGCCCCCTACAGTCTCACAGGCTACACGGGGGATCTTTGTCTTTATCCTGTGTGTGTGGGGGGGGGGAAGTTACTGCGTAGAGATTCTCGCGTTGTGCTACGAACCCGGCGACCCTGGTTCGATTCCCGCTCACGGCCACCACCGGTGACGATTATTTGAACTGGTCCTGGGCCTCCCCTAGGTCGACTCAGCCTGAGCCTCAAACGCGTAACTGGTGTGGTGTGTGAACATCGCCATTGGGGAGACAAAGGCGGCTGGGCGTGGTGAATCCAAGTCCCGGGCGAAGCTGGGTAGTCAAGCTAGTTATAAATAATACGTATGGGGTGGCACTGTGAAGGTGATTTTCTATAGTTTTAGAAAACATGGCTTATTTATGAAAGAGTAAATGGTTTGACGTGGACACAAATTGAAGGCCCTGAGTCACGTCCAGCATTGTCTCTTACTCCAAACAGAGCTGTTCGTTGCCTGCTGTATTGATGCCCGCAGGAGGGTGGGGGGAGGGGCACGTGTTGGTGTCAATAGTGTTTGTGCATTTGAAGGTTGGCAAGAAGGCCCGCAATTAACAAAAACCCACGAAGGGTCCGTGAAAGGAAAGGTGGCGGTGGCGACCGTGAAGACGTATGTATGTTGAATTTCTTACGCACCGTCCGTAGCCAACCGTGCTAATCGGAGGTATGCGGTAACGACGTTGGGCCAGCAGAGCCGGGCGAGCCGACGGACGGCGCCCCCTCACACAGCGGGGACCTCCCACGGCGCTGCCACATGACGGCTGCTACGCTTAATTTAGGCGCGCGTTGGGTTACGCTGCGACGGAAGCAGCGGCGCGGATGAACCGCGCCGCGGTTATTGCAAGCGTTTCGGCGACTGGGGGCGAGAGAGCGCGTCGGGATGGCGTTGAACGCCTCTCTGTACAAATTTTTTTTGTTCACGGGCAGGAATTGTGCAAGCGGGCACAAATTTTAAAATACGACTACGACGCGCAGTTAGCGCCAAGTCATGCGCAAGGCATGCCCGGTGGAAAAGAACATTCAACCCTTATTTTTGGAAAACAAACTGCGGGAACCTCATGCACATTCGAGCTTCAGATTTTTTGCTGCGCTTGGGAAATATGCGGAGATGAAGCAAGGTAGCGACGTTCATCTCAACGTCTGCTGCCTCAGAGGCGGCCACCGCGGTTAGCACACTGCGCTGTGAACCCGGCGACCCGAGTTCGATTCCTAACCATGGCTTAAGCGAGTTTTCTTTAGACTTGCGAAGACATATTTAGACAATAGTTTGATTCATTTCGTGTGATTTGTCCTGCGCTTGTAACATGTGTTTATAAAATGGATAATTTAAATATTTGTTATTTCTGCACAAAACCGAGTAAAAAGAATGAGGAAATCAGTTTTATAAAAATTGCATGTTAATATTGAGGGAAAAATAATATACAGATAGCAAACAAAATGTAGTGTCATTAAAGTACTGCTTATGCCTCAAATTTATATGCAAATGTGTTGAACCAAATGTAGTCCGTGCATATCAGCCTATACAACTATACACAAGCAGCATCACCCCCAGGCAGTGTTTCTCAAAATTCCCATATTTTTTTTCGTTCAACCCCATCAGAAAAGTTCATGTTTTACTCACACTGAGACAATCGCCCCAAACCCAAATCCATATAAGTTATCTACAAATATTGCCTTCGTCTTATTTCAATTCCATCTTGACGGCACCCTCACCTGACTTCCAAAAACGATGACTGACGAACGGTGAAAGATATATTTCTTTAAACAAAAAAAACAACAGTCGATAGCCAGGAATAAAAAAAAAAAAACAGCGGGTAACTGCGCACTTTGCAGCCTCATTTCATCTTCGGAAATGCCAAAGTTAGTCAAAAAAGATGATCGTCTCGTGTTGACACAGCAGGGCACTACTTCCACAGCGGGTGTTTGTTTGGGGCAACCGATGGCCTCAGTTGGTGGCATTCTGCTCGCCAAACAACGTGTGGCAGCTCGATGGGAGGTTGGGGGAAGAGACAACTGACCTCGGTGCCCGGTGAAGGCACAGAAATAGACAAAGAGAGCGGCATGCCCACCGCTGAAAAAACACCAGCCCTGTGACAGCGTGCGGTGTTGTTTGGTGTCTTTAGCGTGACCGAGTCGCTCAACGGGCTCGCGGTTTCCCGCGTCAAGAGCTTTCCCCGAGTCGCCGCCAGTTAGACACCGGCGTTCAGGCACTTGTAATTGAACCAAGTCTCAAGCGTCGGGATGCTGCCATGGTGTAACGATTAGCACACTGGATTAGCAATCCAAGGGTCACTGGTCTGATCTCCCGGCACGGCAGTTGAAAACAATGGAGAAAGTTTTTTTGTTTTAATCCACAGTTGGTCGATCGGCAGTTCGCATTTGGTGGGGTAAAGGGGTGGGCACTTGAGCTTCTTCTGTGAAATCTGGCCAGCATGGGTTAGACCAAAATGCCCTCTAGAGGGGCACCTACAGAGATCCCTGAAATGGAAGCCCCTTCGACCAGCAGTCGTGTTAGCAAGCGAAATCGCAGGGCTGTGCGTTTGTCTGTTAATCAAATGTAATGAGCTCATGGTCTCAGCTCGCCAACAATCAGAGATTATAAGAAACTGTTATATGAAAAGTGGATATTAAATTAGTTTAGGCAAGTTCAGCTCCTAGATTTAAAATTTTTACACCATAATAAAGGTTTATTGGGTTAGATCGCATAAATATAAACGCGTCATTAAAACCGCCACCACTAACCCAAAACATTTTTATTATGGATAATATTGGTCGCGAGAGCCTATGTGCTCAACCAAATTTGTACACGTCAAATAGTTGACATGCAGAAAACAATTATTTACAGATCGGAAGAGGATATCTACAAGCGCAATGAAGTGACTCCAAAAGTAATTATTTCGTGTCACTTGACTTGGCGCGATGCTCTGCTGACAACAACATTTCGGAAGGACGTTTCCTTGCCTCGTGCCGTGGTTATATTTGAACATAGGATGTAAGTGGAGCTAAAGTCAACTTATTTCAATACTGTCAATTCAAGAGCTAGCCAGGTGACTTGAGATCAGAACACTGGGCTGGCACCGCTGAGATGGTGGGTTTCGATCTGGCCAAGTGGAGTAAGTTGAGGGCCTCAACCCAGTCGCCAATGTCCACGTACAAATTCGAATATTACATTAGTATTTTCAATCGATTTGGCAAAAGAAGACTAGCTCTGAAAATTAAATAAATGATCTTACGTTTTGATGACAGTGTGATCAACATCTTTACAACAGGTCACATAGGGAAGTGGAGAATAAGAGGTTTGAAAAGGAGGTGGTCTCATAACCAGTTCTATGACATCTTCTTCCATGCGCCGTTCACTCGCATGCGTCGATGCAATGGATACCTGATCTCACAGCAAGATACCAATAGTAAAATCTGAATAAAACTGACACAAAGATATTTTTCTTATTTTAAGCCACCAATTCTTTAAAATAACTAAGTTCCTCCCATGAATCCAAGTCACAGCATGGTCAACCTTATACACCAAAAATAACATGCGTTTTTTTCCTTATGTACACACTAAATAAAGTTGAAAGATAATTTTCCATAACTGCCTTTTATTCACACAACTGCCCATCAACACATTTTCTTTGGTGTAATATAAGGTAACTTTTCCCAACAATTAACTCGTATATTTTTACAAAGACTCGTTTAGTAACTTAATTCATGCGCTGGTGGGAAAGCAAACGTTGGCAGAAATTGCACTTTCGCCAACACATTAATCAGGCCCATTGTCCAAGCAGGCCACGAAGATTTGTGAAGACCCCACACCTCTGATTGTAGATGTTGTGGCTTGGCTCTGCAACACACCGGTCAGCTGTACTAGTAACGAATTGGCACGTTCTGTGTACGTGACAAACCTTACTAATCGGCTGTGAAGGGTGGTGGCGGGTTTAACAACGGATTTATATATTTACACGATCTAACCCAAAAAAAACCTGTATTATGACCCCACCAAAGTGTGCGCTGATAAAAAAAAACTTTCCAAAAGTGCCCAGCGCTACGTGGACCTCCACCGCCCCCTTGTGTTTGCTGTCAGGCAGTGGACGGACTTTCAATGTCTCACGCTAAAGTGTTGTGGTACTATGTAGAAAAACGAGTCCTGTGACGTTTTAACTTTTTTTTTAACATGCCCCTGTCTGCATGCCCACGAAAGAAAAAAAAGTGCCTAATGCTGGCAAGCCATACTTCACCACGCTGGTCAGTGTAGGTTGGGTGAAAGCACAGATGAGAGAGTAACAGCAGCAATACAAAAATGGATTTGCTGCAGCCGATAGCACCCTTCTGTGCATCGTGGTCACACCCACCTACGGACTACCCAGGCTCAAGACGGCTTAGCTTCCGAGACGTAATATGATCGGGTGTGTTCCAGATGATTTGGTCGTAGGTGTAATTTCTTCAGAAAGAAAGCATTAATGGACAACTGTCCGAGTTAATTTTTTATTTGTGTCTCTAGGCTATCTGCCACTGAATCAGGTGGTGGTGGGTGCCAGGGAGGGGGGGGTGTGGGTAAAAACAATTACTCTCCGAACACAAAATATGACAACAAAAACATCGACGCACACATTTTAGGCGCGACATACAAAGCAAAAGGGGAAAGATGACGGACTCACGGGAAGCGCTGGGAAGGCCGTGTCACTTGGAACGAGGCCTTCGTCCGCTGTCTGTCGGTACCACGGGTCGCTCACTTGAGGAGACCGCATTCGCCCAAATGCTCTGGGCAACACGGGAGAGAAAAGAAACGCCAGTGAGTACAATCACAATACTAGAACTAGTAACTATTTTATTTTACGGTACCAGGTAAGGGCCCCGCTGTGCTGCGGAGATATTTTTCAGAAGCGACCTGGCCACCGCGAATGAGAGCTCAATGAAGTGGCTTATCGCAAAGAAATTTATAGCAAATATTCTAAATGCACGTTGATTCTAAATGTGGAGAAAGAAGCCCGGAGGACCTGGAGAACAACACACGCGACCACAGGGAGTCAGGGTCGGGATTGAACCCACGACCTCCTGTATACCAGGCGAGGTAGTTAACATCTCCTAGCCACCGTGATGATGATGACAGAGAGAAACGCAAACTCCAAATATAAAGCAGGCTTCAGGGTCGGGATCGAACCCACGACCTCCTGTACACAAGGCGAGGTAGTTAACATCTCCTAGCCACCGTGATGATGATGAGAGAGAGAGAGACGCAAACACCAAATATACAGGGAGTCAGGGTCGGGATTGATCCCACGACCTCCTGTATACCAGGCGAGGTAGTTAACATCTCCTAGCCACCGTGATGATGATGACAGAGAGAAACGCAAATTCCAAATATACAGCAGGCGTCAGGGTCGGGATCGAACTCACAACCTCCTGTATACAAGGCGAGGTAGTTAACATCTCCTAGCCACCGTGATGATGATGAGAGAGAGAGACATGCAAACTCCAAATATACAGGGAGTCAGGGTCGGGATTGAACCCACGTCCTCCTGTATACCAGGCGAGGTAGTTAACATCTCCTAGCCACCGTGGCGCACTCCCTTCCTCCAGCCATCCGTGCTGTCAACTCCCTGGCTCCGTTCAAGTCCAGGCTTCCTCTGCCTCCGACTGCTATCATGTCCCCAGCACTGATGTTTGCATATTGCACCTGGCGCTTATTTAAGGCTGGGTGCGGACTCTCACACACACATACACAAGCGCTAACACTCATACACCATTTAATACACAAACAGATACTCCATATAGCATATAACAGACTGTTGGTGCAAGTGTGGTTAGCAAGCACCGATCGGCACGGCACACGAAGGCATGGGTGACCAAGTACTATGCTCGGCTACATTCCTCTTCCCAGGTTCTGATGTTTACACGCTAAACCAGGTACTCATTTAAGACTGAGTCACCTCAGGGGAGGCCCAGGACCAGTCAAAATATTTGCCACTTTTATTGGCCGTAAACTGCATGCACAAGACAAAGACCCCTCCTTATAGCCTTAACGGACCTTTGGAAGCAATTGCTATTCGTGATCACCTACGAAGACTGGAACGATACACGAGATGGTGGGTGGCCAAGCACCACGCCAGACCGTCTTTGTCTCCCCAGTAGTGGTTTATACACTGCCCCAGGTACTCATTTAAAGGCAGAGTCGACCAAGGTAGGGGAGGCCCAGGATCGGTTCAGATCATCGTTACTGGTATTGGCTGTGAGAGGGAATGGAACTCAAGTCGCTGGATTCATAGCACAGTGTGCTAACCACGACACTCCCGTTTCCCACTACATGCGCACACACAGACAACAACAGCCGCCAATTTGCCACTAAGTGGCGGTAAAGTCAACACAGCGCTTGTGCCAGGCCAGGTGCACTGCCGAGGCCACATGAAGTATGAAAGGCTGGCTGGGGGCCAAGGAACGGACCCAGGTGCCATGAGTTGACTGAGATAACTGGCGGATGCACCACCTGTGCCCCCTCCAAAGACAAAGATACCCCGTATAGCCTTAACAGACGCACACACGCACACACACCTTGCTTGATGGACCGGCCCCACTGCCTTGTTGGGCGGCCCTCCCTGAACGAGGCCAGAGTAGTCCATCATGGACGGGTTGTACTCCATGCTGCAGTCGTGCTGCGCCAGCGAGCGCATTGCCCCTGACTTGTGTTGTTGCTGCTGCTGCTGCATGCGTGGGGGGAGGCTCATCTGACCGCGGGGGGCGCCCTCCCGCTCTCCCGGGCGCCCTCTCACGTCCCGCCTCTTCCCACCCTTGTTCCAGCCGTCCTGCTCCGCCAAGTCTGGAGAGATCGGGCACGAACTTAAACATAAAATCCGACGTGAAGATCTGTGCAAAAGTCAGTGCCATCAATTCCTGGCGACGTTGCGGGCCGACACCTAAAAATGCTTAGCAAACTCTGGTAGTCTTCCCTCCAAGTATTAGCCAATCTTGATTTGAAGCTTTCGTGACTGCAGGAATCCATACTCATTGGTTCTTTCGGTAAAGTCACGGAGTGAGAAAAATAAAATAAAAAATCATCACGACGTTTTATTTTTTATTTTATTTTTCTACCTACGTGACTTTACCGAAAGAACCAAAGAATAAGGATTGACCAGGCTGAAAATCTGCTTAGCTCATGAGATCTGATAAAATCGGGCACAGTTAGTGTGATTTGGTCATAATTACTTTACCAGTGCAAACAATTTGAGGTCGAGGTCAAGAGTTCATCACAGCTAATGTTGTTCTGCTAAACCCAAGGTCAGATTTTCTCTCTCCACGGGCTTCTACCATGCACCTCTTCTGTTCTGTCATCTTCCGCTAACGTTACCGATGATACAAAACCTGGCCATCGCTTCCTTCATCCCGTCAGATGCCTTAGCCGTTGCAGTGCCAACAATCCACCTCCAAGGTATAGTCCACCAATTTCATCGCCAGCAACTGGCCTTAGCTCTTTCCCGCGATCGCCAACCTCCAGGTGTCACCCAAATGTGCATCCTGGTATCCTTCCCTTCTCCATCCTGCACGCATGCCCCACTCACTGCAACCGTCTATGACCGCTTACATCAACAAAACTGCGTTGCGATGCTTTAGAGTCTGAATCTCAAAGTAGGTAACTCTCTTGCGTCTCAGAATTCCGAGCCATGCATTGCATTGCACACAATGTACAAATTAAATGTGGCTCAAATAATCAGGTGTTAAACTTACTCATGTGCTAAAGAACGATCATTGACGTCAACAGAATGAACGCAGCTGGCGGTGCGAGCCACGCGATACGAGGCATGCGCAGTTTTGTCGATCAAAGTGAAATTTTATTCATCCCCGTGCGTGGGGGCCACACGGCAGCCCTGATAAATAATTTGTGCACGCGCGTCGCTGCAAGCGGATACCTGGAGCCGATCCCCAGTACGTTAGTGTCGGGTTCCAGGAGAGCGGCTTCAGATTCTTCAAGGCAACACATTTACTGAAACACACGCACGCATTGTCATGAAATCGCACCGAGACACACATTGACAAACTTTTTTTAAAATTTTAACCAGGTAAGGCCCACTGAGCTGTACAAGTATAGCTCTCTTTCAGAAGCGACCCGGCCACAAATGATAGCGCTACGAAGTGGCTTATTGCGTGGAAATTTACAGCAGCCAAATACTCTAAATGCATGTTGATTCTAAATGTGGAGAAAAAAAAACAGAGGAACCGGAGATGAATCAACGCGGCCACGGGGAGAACATGCAAGCTCCAAATATACAGGTGGCAGGGTCGGTATTGCACATAAGACCTTCTGTATACCAGGCGAGGTAGTTAATATCTTATCACTTATACAATCGCGCACCCAGCTAAGGTAACTAAGAGAGAAATACAAAATCTCACAAGACAGATAATGCTTTCCAATCGTGTGCCTGTTATGTAGTTTACTATGCATGGCCAATAGACATCTCAATTGACAAAACACAAAAACTCCCAAGAATGAAAGTGCAAGTTCAAATCCTGATCAGGAGTGACACAGCCCCCGAACATTATCATCATTATCTTCAACATTCCTAACAAAAATAAAAACAGCTGCTGCATCCTGATGGGATGATTGGGGCCGTCGGCTACGGCTGGTCACCATCAAAGCCAGCGCCAGCAACAACGAACCACCACCAGCAACGGCACGGGAACGTGTGTATGTTGAACTTCTTTCACACCATATGTAGCCAACCGTGCTAATCGGAGGTGCGGGGGAAAGGCCAACAAACTAAACACAAAAAGCAGTTCTAAAAAAATGAGTTTTCAATTTCAATTTAAAAGTGCATAACTCCAGTGGATTCCTAATATCAGAAGGAAGAGCGTTCCAGACGGCCGCAGAAGCGCATCTGAAAGCGCACGATGCAGAAACCATCTTTGTTCGATGGCCAGCCAAGAGCCATTGCTGCCGACTGCTGCGGCTGCGAGAATGACCGGAGCGCGCGTGACGCTTTATGCTCTTCAACAATATCAGCAAGGCATTGCGGTTTATTTGTGGAAAGCACTTTGTGTGTAACGAGTGCGACCTTATAACGGCAACCGGAAAACGGTGCTCACCTGCCCTTGAGCTCCTCCACGTAGACGTTGACGGGCCCGTTCTCCGTGAAGATCTCCGTGATGTACGCGGGGTAGTAGCGGTCTCCCCGCTCCTCAACGCGCACCTGGGAGCGGTCAAACACGCAAACACATGATGATCAAACACAACACGATGTGGATATATACAGTGCCTAAATATGACCGCGTGTTTATAGATATCACGTAATGGAAGAAACGAACATGCACACAACGGAGTAGGCATGCAAAGGATTATTCACTTTGCAGATTTAAATAAATTGTTATCATCGTGCGGTACTCGAAGATCTAGAGCACATGTGGAAACAAAACAGTACGAACGATTCTTTACTGAAATGTGACCACGAATGTAACAATTCATCAGTGGGGGGTATAGATGCCCAAGAGTGAAGCAAAGGGAGCAACAGTCGCATCACGTCCTCATACACAACAAACAAAAAAGTGTGAATGGAAGAGAGCTCACCAGACACTGATCGCCTTCCGAGAAATGAACTCCAGGAGCCGATCCATGATCTGCTTCGTGTTGCTCTGCGCCAGAAAGTAGGCACGCTCATGATCAATTTGCCTCGGCAAAGCTTTCGAATGTTAAAAAAGTACAGCTGGAGTTTACAACATTGCAGTTAACTTTAGATTACCCGAGGGTAGATTAACTGGGTTTCATATGAGCCAAACGTTAAATCCGGAGTAACTTTTGTCGACCCGTGTACGAAAGTTTAGCTGCAAGATGGCAGCCAAAGTTGAATTCGCGATCACTGGGACTCACAGATCCACCATCATGACCAACTGGGAGAACTATTCAAATATTAAAATTAAACGATTAATCAAATATAAATTGACAGCTATATTTTTTTATATGGCGGGGAGTTGGTTGGTCGGCAATGTTTTATATGCTCGTGTGGAGGTCGCAGGAGCCAGTGGACAGCTTCACAAGCGCCGTGTGGTAAATATCTCTACCGCAGCCTGCCAACGATAAACGCGGACAGCCTCGTCACTATGTGCTTCCCACGGTTTGAGATCGGCACCGACATTCGCACTTCTTCTTTCGTACGGCTGATGTAGATGCAGAGCAACAACTACAATGTCACATGCAGGTTCTCGAGCCAAGATAACCGCGTCAGGAGGAGCGGCGTGTACACCGCTGCGATTTCGCCTTCGTATATTTGTGGATCGGGGCATTGCATCGTTACACGTTGCACGGTCTGTTCTGGATGACCACAGTCGCACACTACTACTGGAGAGTTTTACATTTTACAATCGCACTGTGGGTTATTCACAATTGTCCATAGGTGTATGACGAAAGAGCCGCCCGCGTCTCCCGTGCGAAACGAAACTAAAACTATTTAAATAAAATTTGTTCAACTAAACTAAAAAATGCAAATTATTTTACCAGGTAAGGGCCCACTGAGCTATATAGCTCTTTTTCAGAAGCGACCTGGCGACGAATGATGTGGAAATTAATAGCAGCCAAATACTCTAATCGCATGTTCCTAAATGTGGAGGGAAAAAAAAACCAGAGGACCTGGAGAAAAATTAACGCAACCACGGGGAGAGAAACTTGCACACTCCAAACATACAGCGGGAGTCAGGGTCGGGATCAAACCCACGACCTCCTGCATACCAGGCGAGGTAGTTAACATCACCTAGCCACCGTGATGATGATGAGTGAGAGAGAGACGCAAACACCAAATATACAGTAGGCGTCAGGGGCGGAGCCAAGGGGGGTGACAGGGGTGACATTCTGCGTACAAGTGTACGACACTCGGTCTGGCGGACTCCGTGCAACTGCATTGTCAGAGTGTGTCCGCCAACCGATGGCGTCTGGTTCAACAGCCTGACTCTCTAATCATTCTTGAAATTAAAATTTGTTGAATGTCACCCCCGGCCTGAAATCCTGGCTCCGCCCCTGGTAGGCGTCAAGGTTGGGATCGAACCCACGACCTCCTGTATACCAGGCGAGGTAGTTAACATCTCCTAGCCACCGCGGCGTTCACGCTCAACCCCTATGGCGACCGGCACGATTTACATAGTGGAGTACAAAAGCACAAGCCCCGTACTGTAAAAACGCTCATTCATACACAACACCAAGACTCTGCCCTGGCCCCCTTTGTTCAGCGCTGTTTGCTTACGACAAACAATACCTGTGGTGTCTGTCTTTGACAACAGGCGGTGGGTGGCTAGAGCAACATTTACCTTTCCTGGAAGCAACCCACACCTCAAACTCCACGTTTCTGTACACAAACGGGTCCAGCGACTTCATGACGCTGAATGGGACGGACTGCAATCGTAAACACGCACGCAAGCACACTCACGCAATCAACTACTTGCACACCGTCCATGTAGGTTCAACATCGGCAGCCTTGATCAATTCACTGCTGGATGAAGGCCTTGCTGAGCAGTTGCCATTCTCCCGTAGGCACGCAAGATAACAATCCATCTAGCTCCTGCACAAAAGGCCCATTTCATCGTTGCAGGCGTGTTCAATGATCAAAAAAATCTACTCCAGCAAGTGCCTATATTTCACCTGAAAGAGATTTAACGTTGCTCAAATAAGCATATGGGAAAACATATATACGTATTTATCATCAATTTGGTTGGTGGCTCGTGCAGATTTGTAAAATAAAAGTTGTAAAATGGCCAAACACGTCGAGCTTCGAGCTGTTCTTCAGATGTCAGTACAGGAAGCGGATTCCTAAATCCATCTGTGCGAAGCTGTGAGAGTTATCCCCTCGTGCGTGCTGGTTTTTTTCCCTTGGTAGTCGAGTTAGCTCTCCACAGGCAAAACGTTTGTGTTAATGGTAATTGCCACTACTTCAAAGCGCAGGACCCTACTGTAAAAATCTCGGATACGACATGCGGCATTCCCCGACTAAATTAAACATCCATACGCTTTCTAATTTTACTTGTGAACATTGTAAGCAGCTAGCTGCTGATTAGTTGACGAGCAAAACTGTGACGGTTCATGGGAAATGTGCCATCGTGTTAGCTTGGGTTAATGAACACTATTGCATAACGCAATTATTTTAAAAAAACATAAAAATAAATTATTGTATATTGCTTACCTCGATGTCTCCCCTGGAAAGAAGAAATAAAAAGGACAGGATTAATAAAACATCTCGATATAACTTCACCAATGCAACACTATTGCTTAAGGCAATGAATATCCCAACTGTTATACATACGACAATGGACTGTACATGTTCACTCGGCTCCAGGCTTGAACATCCGCTGTGTACACCGCTCGTATTCCACATCAACCACTGGGTTGTTTGACCATACTTCACCACGCTGGTGAGCACGAGCCGGCGAAGCCAAGAAGAGGTGGGGCCCCGGTACCAGCTCGGATATCACTCGCCACCGGTGTCATTCATTTGTCGGGTACAGAACTCGGCGTCGGCGGGCTCATGATGACGTGTCCAAACCCACACAATGCGGTGTGCGCAAAATTCTCCAAAGTCCAAAATCAGCTGTCAAATTACTGTAGTGGGATTATACACGGCAAGCATCGCCCCCACTGGCAGACTCATGGCCTGGGTCACTCTTGCAAATGAGACTTTATCCTGATCTCTTGAGTTCTGACCTAGTTAAACAAGATCAACTTGAAACTTGAACCACCGCATGAATTGAATGAGCGTGGCACAAAGAAGGGGAGGTGGAAGGCGAGGGAAGGTCATGGGAGATTGTCATGCGGTGTGAGGGGAGATGCGGAGAGGTTAGGGAAGTGAGGTGAGGGAAGGTGACGTGAGGTATGTGACGGAAGGCGAGGCGTGGGAAGGTGAGGCGAGAGGAGGTGTGGCGAGAGGAGGCGGAGGTGAGGTGAGGTGAGGCGAGGGGAGGTGAGGAGGCGAGGTGAGGTGAAGAGAGGAAAGGTGAGACGAGGGGAGGTGAAGAAAAAAAAAGAGGTGAAGAGAATGGAGGTGAGGAAGGGGTGGGTGAGGGGCGGTTATGCGATTCAAACGCAACCAAAGCGGGGTGAGGTGAAGGTCAGTGGCGGGAGGCAGTGGGAGGCAGAACGCACCCGAAACTGTCCAGGATGGCCTCCTCAGATGAGCTGTCATGGTTCTTGCGGCTGCGATAGAGCTCCACGGAGGCCCGTAGTGTCTGCCTGTTCACCTCAAACACGTGCTCGTACAGCAGCTCGTACAGCACCGCTGGCGGGGGTGGGGGGGGAGAGCGAGCCAGGAGATGGACAGAGAGACACGGAAATGGCATTCTGGTTGTATGTATGTTCAAATTATTTCGCACCTTACGTAGCTAACCTTGCTAAATGGAGATGTGGGGGCATCGAGGCCCTGCGTTCAATAAAAATATACTCTTACACTCCAGAGGTATGCGTCGAGTCGTGCGTGCGTGCCAACCGATTAATTACAATTCGTGTTAAAAAATTATTAAATTATTACGTTCATGTTACGTTTAAGCTCAAGGGGAAAACCATACTGGTTGGAACGCTGCGAACACATGATCGAAGCAATATAAACAAAAATCAAAGACGAGTTGAAATATATATTTTGCAATTGAATCACAGCCCCAATTCATAAATACAAATCGAATCTCTGGAGGGTTGAATTGCTACATGTTTAATCATCGCCATCATTGTTAATCTCGGTATTAACAAAAGACTCTTAACCGCTAGTACAGCAGCATGAATGCAGCCGCTCCATCAAACGCAGCGTCATGCAAATCATTCTCTTCCGTCTGGTTTTCAACGTTAGCATTTGCAAGGTATGTATCTGTTGACCGCAGTCGAAAAGCAATCGAGGCACTGCGGAAGGTGAAGAGATAAACATCTACGCCACTTCTCGCGTTCGACTCAATATGCGGTTCTCAGACAACACACGATCTGTAAAGGGGCAACGACATTTAACAGAGACAGACAGACAGGCTTCACACCTCTCCCCCCCCCCCCCATCTTTCCCTACCCCTCTTGTGTTTATTAAAATAAAAGAACAGCCAACCTTTGTGATATTCCAACTGTAGGCTCTGTGATTAAGGATGCCTACGACCTGGGCCGTGTGTTTTTTTGTTGGAACTGTGCCATGCGTTTGTAAATCGTAAATAATGAAAATGGCATAAAAAAAACGCAAAGCTTCACCACACGGTGCGATAGGTCAGGATATGTGGTTAGATGGGCACTGTCGTGAACAATAAATAAAGCTTCCCAACAGCAAAATCTTGCAGAGGTTGTAGCTAATATTGTTTCAGATCTCCCTGTCACAATGTCATTAGTAGGCAATGTACTGCTCAATTGATTGATCGATTCAACAATTAAGAGATTCTCATTGATGCAAGCCTCAAATTGCACGTGTAAAAATCAATTGCTTCGATTTACGCAAATCACATTCAATTGTTAGATTCACTTCAATTGAACAAAAGACGCAGTGTGGGAATAACATACGAGGCAGACAATGATAAAACAAAACATATATTTTTTTTGTTGCTCGATGGCAAATTAATTAATTTCTTATTTTGCCTATCAAGGTCTAACAAGCAACAGATGTCCTTCCCCCCGCACCTCCAATTCGCAGAACATACATACGTACATATGTGCATACAAACTGCCTTGATTAACAAGCGGAAAATGCAACCGGTGAGAATATTATTGTGTTATTTTATTTTATCAATTTATTATTTTATTCTCATTCTATGTGACTTTGGTGAGAATATTATTGTGGTATTTTATCAATTTATTATTTTATTCTCATTCTACGTGACTTTAGTGAGAATATTATTGTGTTATTTTATTTTATCAATTTATTATTTTATTCTCATTCTACGTGACTTTACCGAAAGAACCAAAGAAGATGATTCATTGCAGTCACGAAAGCTTTAAATCGAAATGCAACCGGTGCCCCGTTACGTCAAGAGAAGGCAAAGCCCTTGCTGCGTGATCCCAGTTTGTAGGCTCACCCTGACAGATCCCAGCGACGGCCGGGAACTTCCGCGAGTAGACGCTGTCGTAGTGATTCCCGTTCGAGAAACACAACAGTATCTGCCAATAAAACCACGAATCATGTACAACAACAACAACAAAATCCTTACAAATCTATACGTCATTCATTAGCATTACATACCCTGGCATGCCAAGAGGAGGTACAGCAAAAAAAAATATGTGGACTCCACCTGTTCTGCCTCTGTGGGATAGAGTGCTTTCCCCCTCGCACGCGTGGGTTTTCTCTGGGTGCTCTGGTTTCTACTCGTGAAATTGGCAACACCTTAATATATATAGAGGACTGCAAAGCTTGGGCAGTTGTTGGCACCGGCGCATCGCATGGCTGCCTTCCTGCTTGTCTGTGACTCCTTTTGCCTCGGGAGTTGTTCTCTCCGTCTACGAGAACGAACTAATACCGAGCGCGTTTACAAGCCGAAATTAGCATTATACGGCAGAAGTGTACAACAGGCACATTCGCAAGTCGATGGTGAATCGGCCGAAACAAACTGCTTCATTTCATTTGCCCCTTTTGTTAGAACCACAAGTTTTCAGTAACGCTCATACGCAGTGAATATGTTTTAAGCCAAAGTAAGCTCCAGGTTGGGGAACGCATGCCGTGAGAACAGCGGATGAATCACAAGGCCCATGGTCGTGGTGGCCATTAAATAAAAACGGAATCAATGTAAACAAAAACATTGCAATGTTCCTACAGGTAAGTGGAGATATTTGTCCTGCTTCTCAGAGCAAAACCATTGACATAGAATTTGAACGTGCTCTAAGGACTGTGACATGAATCAATGGATGCGCTCAAGTCCGTCGATTCGTACTTTGTCTTTGAATCCATGCTCCGTTACGTTTGCTGGTGGTCTCCCCGGTTCTTGATAGATGATAAAATCTCGACTACGAGCAAAGGGAAAATTAAACAAAAATTACACAAATATAAAACACTTAGACAAGACACAGCTGACACTTGTGAAATGCAAGTGATCGACTATGAATAAACTATTAAATTATCACTCGTGGTTAAACACCAACCAACTGACATCGATTAACAGGTGTGGCTATATATTCTTGGTTCTTTCAGTAAAGTCACGTAGAAAGGAAACAATAAAATAATACAAATATAAAACAATAAAATTCTCACGACGTTTCGACTGCAACACAAGCAATCATCATCAGGTGTGAAAACCACAGCAAGAAAATTTGAACAAAGTGGCGTTTTTTTTTAACGTTAAAGATAACCGCCACTTTTTTTCAAATTTTAACGTTAAAAATAACTGCCACTTTTTTCAAATTTTCTTGCTGTGGTTTTCACACCTAATGATGATTGCTTGTGTTGCAGTCGAAACGTCGTGATAATTTTATTGTTTAATATTTTTTATTATTTTGTTTCCCTTCTACGTGACTTTACCGAAAGAACCAAGAATATGAATCCCTGCAGTCACGAAAGCTTTAAATCAAAACAGGTGTGGCTATTAAAACTATTCACGAGCTCTGAATAAAGATGCTCCAGGGGTTAATTATGGACAAATATGAAAGAAAAACATAATAACCCACATCTCATTGTCCTGAAAGTATGATTTTTTTAAGTGTCCAGATGGAGTGCATGTATTAATTTACTCATTATGACTACGCTTCTGAGTGACTGGCACAGCCCCCCTCTAGCCTTCACACCTGATTGGCTCACAAGTGACGACTTCACACTGATTGGCTCACAAGTGACGACTTCACACTGATTGGCTCACAAGTGACGACTTCACACTGCTTGGCTCACAAGTGAGGACTTCACAGTGATTGGCTCACAAGTGACGACTTCACACTTATCCCTCTATATTTAAGACCGAAACAGGATTTCTCCACAAGTCTGTATGTCGCCTGATGATGCTAGTTGTAATTACTGAGCAAACGTCCTACTCAAATTGTAAATGTTGTGCTGTACTAGTAACGAATTGGCATATTTTGTGTACGTGACAAACCTTTATAAATGGCCGTGTCGGGTGGTGGCGGGTTTAACGACACATTTATATGTACGCAATCTAACCCAAAAACCTCGATTAAGACAGCCTCACTCTGCCGATGAGACAGTGAATGTCAAAACAGTTCCAGAATTTGTATGGATTAAACCAATGCAGCTGAAAAATAAATCACTCCCAGAAGGCCATGTGGACAATGGGATGTGTAAACAAAATCTCGTGTATCTTTACGAGTAGAAAACAGATATGGAAAGGAGGCTTATGCGAGGGGTAACAATTTCTTCCAGGACACTCCTCATGCATTCGCGCCATGCAGCCGATTGCTTTTCATGATTGAGGGCTGTCGATCCGGATACTGGTATCAAACATCCCTAACATACCCTTTTTCTGTGCCTCTAAAGCCTGGTACACTCAAGGACGCACGTTTCCAGACAAAATGTGTTTCCATCGCTGTAGGCGCAATGTTTCCACAAACAGAGCAACAAGTCTCCCAGATTAGCAGACCCGCGTGCTACTTTGAGAAACATTTCCCAAGAAACATTTCGCTTCTGGCCAATCAGCAGGCTCTGTGAGCAACGAGTCATCGTCGGTCACGTGACTGTGCAAGGCGTTGGTTTCTCAAGGTTTCTGAACGATTTTTTTAAATAAATGTTTTGAATGAACAATAAACGCACATTTGTGGTGGGAATGTGTATGTGGACACGCGTGGGGCTTAAGGCTTTTATGAGCATCGTTTACGTCATTGTTCAGTTGGTAAAATCGGATTTAGTGCCTTTAAGTCTTAGGCGGCAAAAGAAAATCCCGCCTCGCTGAGGACTTACCTGTACATTATGGAAAGTGCATTTATTTCTAAGTCGCCGCCCCATTCCTGTGGGAAGAAATCAAATGAGCCGTTTTTTTAAAAACTGATGTTCTTGTTAGGGACAAACTTTCATAAAGTTATCACTCACCCCCACAACCTCGAAATGTTTCTCATTGTCACCAATAATTTGCCAGGCCTCCATTGTGAAAGAGGTGATGCATCTCAATGGACTGAACAGAGTGCATAGTAAATTCTGCGAATTAATTTCAAAGTAATGCAGGTGCAAGCAAACAACATACTAGGGCTTGCGAGGATTCGTGAATTGCAATAGATTCTAATGTGCACGAAACACACGTCAAAAATCGCGCACCTAGCAACCGATTGTGTTCAATTTGTGCAAGTGACGTGCGAATTGCACATTAACGTACCAGTATATGAATACAATGAACACGACAGAACAAATGAGACAGAATGCAACAAAAGCCAGAGAAGGCAAATAAGATCGGAAAATTCAGACGAAACCCCCCATCCTCCTCCTCCCTCGATTCTTGTAGACAGTGGTGACCACGAATCGTGGCAAATTTCACCGAATTGGAAGGAGGAAAAAACAACAACACTGTACTGCATAATAAAAACAAATCAACACATTTGTCAATAGGTGTTATTGACACATTTGTCAATTGACATATTTGTCAATAATACCGCGTGGCCTTAAATTGGGAAATATGTAATAGGTGATGTTTTTGGCATTGGCCCTCCTTCATAGCACATTGAATGCACAGAATTAAATCTTCATAGCACTTAATGCGATGAAGATTGCTCAAAATGTTAGTGGCCCTTCATCGCACACTTTGTGCTACTTTGTGCACTTTGTGCTATGAAGGGCCATTGCTCGAAATTACACCTATTGTAATTTTCATTTTAAGGCCACAGTGTTCTTGACGAATGTATTGAATTTTTTTGTTACTTTGTACACCACTGCCAATGCAGTATAATAAAATAAATTTTATTCCACGTTTTTTGGGGGTTTAAAGGAGGCATCAATTTTGGTAAGATCGACGCAGAATGATATTTACACACACACGACAGGGAACCACACTGGGTTATGCAATTCGTCTCATCAACGACACACTGAACATTTTTAAAAAGCAGTGACAGGCATTTTCTCAAACGCTGATCACGACTTTCGAACAACAAAGCCCCGATACCTTAGCAACGTTCCTAACAATGTGACACACGCCAACTCCGCTTCAACTTCACATGGCAGTGTGGGTCATGACCATTAAAAGCAATTCTTGCACTCACAATGTACACTGAATTATCATCACCATCATCAGCCACGGTCAATCCACTGTTGGATTAAAGCCTCTCAAAGCCGCCAGCACACCTCATGATCCCGTCATGTCATGATCCACCTAATATTTGTGCCGCAGTGGCAGGATGTTAACTCCCTCGCCTGATTATACAGGTGTTCGGGGGTTTGATCCTGACTGACACCTGCTGTATATTTGGAATTTGCATGTTCTCCCTGTGGTCGCATAGATTTTTCTCTGGGTGCTCCTGTTTTTCCCTCCACATTTAGAATCAACATGCGTTTAGAATATATGGCTGCTACAAATTTCCATATGATAAGCCATTTCATTAGAGCTATCATTTGTGGCTAGGCCACTTCTACAAGTGAGTCGGCCTTACCCGGTAACATAAAAAAAATCTCGTTTTAATTTACTTGCTTAATCTCAGAGACTTAAGTGGGTAAATAACTGGAATTAGAATGATTACATTGACCTCCCATTTGGCAAAGCGATACAACACAAGGTGACGGTGCAAATGAATACTGACAATGATGTACATCGTGACCATTATTATTACCTTCGGATTTGAAAGCTGCTGCAAATGATCTTCAAACGAGCCTTCGACGAACTGCAATGAAATGAAACCGTCAATGTAAACATTCATTCACTTGTTCAGAAAAGCGTGCCTAAACCAGAGTTGGGAGAGCCTACAGACCCCATAGGCCATATGGTGACCCATGACGTTTTAATTTACACGGTCCGCTGTACACACCAAGTCTTATCAATTCATCGAGCCCACAAACGATATTTATCCACCACTGCAAAAATCTTCACACTAATCGGGTACGAGCGGGTTATATTTTTTTTTACCGTAACACCGCGTATACAATTTTAGTGTGCTCCGTCATCGCCCTCGCTGCGTGGGCCTCTTGTAGTGACAGATGTGACTGAGATGCCTGTGTGTTAACGAGAGTCCCACCAAAAGTTATCTCAAAGTCTTATTCGGCCAACGCCTGCCAACTCGACTGCCGCGTTTGCATCGGAGGATTCACTCAACCTCCCGCACTGCGCTGCATTGGACACACAAACTATGACAGACACGATCAACAATATCATTGAATGTCTATCTTTAAAAAAAAAACACTGTTCGTAAAATGTAAAATAGATCATGCTTGCCAACACGTTTTCATGTGGAGTGGCGTTTGCTCAAACGCCGTGTTTATCACACGTTTTCATGTGGAGTGGCGTTTGCTCAAACGCCGTGTTTATCACACGTTTTCATGTGGAGTGGCGTTTGCTCAAACGCAGTGTTTATCACACATTTTCAGAGGGGGGACACTTTTGACAATAAGACATCAGTGTGAGAGGCCGCCACACATTTGAAACCATTGGGTGGTTTGACAGCAGCACAATGGGGGTGTTGTCACGTGTTGTGTATTGTTGGGAGCCGCACTAAAGACCTCCAGGGGCTGCCAGTGGCCCACGGGCCTTGCAATGAAGTACACTAGCGTGGACGTTTTCTACTTTAGTGTTCGAGGCACAGAGTACGGCTCAATGGACAGAGCAACAAAGCTCCCTCCCTAAGTTATGAATATGCAAGTTTAAACCCTGGTCAGGGATGACACGGCCTCAACAGTCATTGTCATTCCTCAAAAATCAATAACAAAGCACCAGCAGATGAGACCAAACATGTTGACTGATAAGTCGTTTTACTGAAAAATGGACCTCATTCTTATCAACGGAATGTGGAATTTCCAAGAATGGCTCAAAGAAGCCAATGGAAATGAGCAATTCCCAGGATTTATTTTTAGGCAGTTCACGAGGCATGAATTAATCAATTATAATGGAATATTTCGCGTATGACATATGCAATTAGTCGTACGTGTAACTCCTCATTGAACACAATACATGCAAATATATTTAAATGACATGAAAATGTTCCATTTATGATCATGAAGTGAACAAAACTGAATGAACAAGACCGAAAACAAATCCAAGTTGAAATACAAACGAGTAAGGGAAACACAGACGAAAAAATATAAAAACTCATAAATCTAATCATGATCCTGAACGGTGACAATTCATGAAATTGGCGAAAGGGTGAATTATCACATATTACAGCAAAGGATCACTTTGATATTAAGCCAACCGCACCTCTAATTAGCGCGGATGGCTATGTACGGTGCAAATGAATTTCAACATACATACATATGCGTGCGTGTGTTATCCAATTATTCACTGTTTTTTTTGTTTAATACTCATTCTAGATTGTCCGAATTAGCGCCAATGACTGTGGGAGCACCGTAATTAAAGGCCACGGGGTCCACTTAAGGGTTACCCCCAGTCGAAGAGAATTGCATGGAAATGCATCGGGTGCTCAATTCATAGAGAATGTACCACCTCTTTCCCTCTGGTCCCTCTAAGAAATGATGCGACTTAAGATATGCATTCCACGCACGAAATTAAAACCAGAAACGAGATGATGTTAACGCTGAATTCTGCAGTGACCCACACATTCCGTCCCCTTGCGGAATCGTTTAAGGACACGCTGCTGCCATTTGCATTTCTACAAAAAATGCTTTTAGTCAATTTCAAACAAAGAGTCATATGCACCGCCTTCGGTGTGTTACATGCACCGTTATGATAGTTTAACATGCGTTACAGCGCTTGCCATCTCAGGGATGTTCTCTCCCCCTTTGCCACCACTGTCATTAGTTTAGACCACCGGCCATCGTCCCTTCTAGCTAAGTGTCCGGTCCCAGCCCACTTGCTTTTCACAACAGTAAATAAGAAGATGAAACATTTTAGAGGCTTAATACCCTTTCCGGCAAGAATACAGGAGGTGTTAGAATGTTCAAACAGCAAATAGACATCAAGTATGCATTAACCACACATGCTTGTGGCAAAACATGCTAACAAACATGCTTTGATAATAATGTACGCATTGTCCTTTAAAAAAAACACTGATTGTCCTACACCAGAGAGACTCCTTTATGGCTCTGTCTCACCTGTGTCAGACCAGAGAACGCCAAAAGGTGAACAATACAAAGGCAATGCAGATATCAGAGCGTTAATAGCTTGGGTCACACAATTTAATATATGGGACCCTTTCCGCCAAGAATGTTTTCATCATCTTGCTACTGGCAAAAGGGCCCCAGTAGATTAAATAAGAAGTCTCTATCTTGAGTGCGTTTTCAAATCCGTGTGTTCCTCCCCCTCTCCAGGTGTCATTCCAAGCATCATTCACGCTCCTTTTCGCACTTATCAGCGTTTGTTCCATTTTGTGTGTCTGTGTGCCTATACATTTTTTTGTGTTTGTCAGGACAGTCCCATTATGCCCATTAAAACTATTAAAACAATTACATACACACACAAACTGTTTTTGAGGTTCTTCGCGCATTTGGAAAATGCATACAAGCGCAACTCGATTTATCTGCGTGCAGAATGTTTACAGGGCCCCTGATTGTGTAGAGAACTATAATTACACAAAGAGGCTCAATGAAGGCTCTATGAAGCTTGCATAGGGGAGGGGGCTTGATTCCTGTGTGCGGCGTTTGTTTGGATATTAGTGGTGGCTATTAAAGTGAGCATGAAGCAGGCACAATGCCACACTATGGTTGCCCATTTTGTCTTTTGTTGTAACATTTACACACTGACAGAACCACCGATGTTAGACACGATTGTACGTTAACGAAAAATGAGAACTGGCTGGGTGGATAGTAGGGCTTGAAGCTATAGCAAATGCTGCGTGCACATGGGGCAGATAATACATGCAGGATATAATTCAGCAAATCGCTGCTTCAGTGACCGCATTCGGCTTTCATTTTTTAAAAAGACGCGACACAAACTGGGTGGCTGTTTTTCTCAGTGAGATCAAATTAAAATTAATGTTTTGGATAGCTGGGCATACACGCGAAAACAAATAAGATTGTTCCAGAATACTTTTAGTCAAGCTAACGTATACACGTAGCGAACGGCGGCGGTGCAGTGGTCTGTGCGGCGAACGACACGAGTTCATTCTCCGGCCATTGGTTCACAAGTGTGATTTCCCAACCAGTCCTGGGACCCTCCACCTGCCCCTTTAAACCAACCTGCAACTGACCAGCGTGGTGAAGTATGGTCAAACAACCTCCATGACCAATAAAGCTTGGGGAAGCATTTAACCAGCAGTGGATTGACAAGCGAATATAAAGTACTAGCTTTACTACCCGGCTTCGCCCGGGACTTGGATTCACCACGCCCGGCCGCCTTTGCCTCCCCAGTGGCGATGTTCACACACCACAAGCAGTTACTCGTTTGAGGCTGAGTCGACCTAGGGGAGGCCCAGGACCGGTTCAAATAATCGTCACAGGCGGTGGGCGTGAGCGGGAATCGAACTCGGGTCGCCGGGTTCGTAGCGCGGCGCGCTAACCACTACACTACAATGCGTTACGCTTCCACATGCGCGGGTCACGTGACAGATTTGACGTCACAGCTCACTTGCCGTGCAAAAAATATATATGCATTATTGAGCTCCCCCCACTCCAACTTTGCCTTTTATATATATGGAGATTATTATCATGTATACCGTGAATCGTAGAGAACCCATTTCACTACAATGAAAAGTAAGAGACGGGTGTACATTGTCATACTCTTCTCACAATCCGGTACTCGGAGCACTGAAAATAATAAAATGGCAAAATAATATCATTGAGGTGGGGGGTTTTTTATATTCTCTAACATGTAAATAATATTCTGGTAAAAGAATGACATTAATAGAAGCACACATTTTCAAGTTTAAACCGTGTCAGACTTCGGCATTCCGCTGCTCCCACATATTTGGTGCCGTGATCTATGACACGTCCTCCGAACATCTGACGCCGCCGTTTCAATTCAACCCGGTGTTTATTTGTTACATGGAAAATCCCATTTAGCCAGTTATTTAGCTCAATGCTGTGGCAACGGCCCGCAGCGGCCACCAACAACAGAGTTGGGGTGGTGAGGAGCCCAGCCAGCAGACAGCCAGAAAACTCGAGGCACAGATTATTTAAATAGCAGCATGATTGTAAAGTATATTCATTCATTCATCACACAGTCAGCGATGAATCGTTTCGCCGAACATGTGACTTCTTGCAACAGCATTCGAATAAACTGCTCTGGCTGCCATACACCGGTGTCTCAACTAATTTGTTTTATCCACGCATCACGGCAGACGACCACGGGGGAGGTGCTATTCCTTGAGAGTGGCAGCTTTCACTTCGAACATGGACCGCCAATCGAAGGGAGTGCAATTTTCCTGAAGTTTGCACATCAAGAGGGGCGATGTGTCCACAGTGACAGTCGTCCCCCTTGAACTAAGCTCTCAATCGTTAGGGGACCGGTCGCCGATGCAACGATGACATTTCTGGCAAAATCGAATCATCAACATGCCAAGAAGGCGTCTTTGACATCGCGTGTGGAAGGACTGCAGCCGATTTAAATCAGCTTGAAGCAATGTCCAAGCCTCCGCACCATACAACAAAACTGACCAAAAACAGCACTGGTACACTCTCAATTAGGTGGTCAGACTTAAACGTTTCTTAAACCCAAACGTAAACCACGTGGTAAATGTGATTATTACATATTTTTTACATCATCAAGGATAAATTG